GCACCAGGGCCCTTTGTTCCTTAGGTCCGCCACTGATCCCAACCTAAGCCTACGATGTATCACAATACGGCAGGGCCTGCAAAAACTCAACTGATCGTCTTTTGAATGCCACAGAGTGTTGCTGCCGATCATCTTAACCCCCTTATCTGTACGGATACTAGATAGGTGTCCCTAATGGCCACTGATATGCCAAACTATTAATACTTTGTTTTAAAAAAGTACATTGCAGAACGAACTGTCCTAAACTATCAGCCTTCTCTTTTAGATGGTCAGCATTTCAGTGTTCATGTTCATCACTTACAACTTACGCCTCAGCTAATCCTGTAATGTAGGCACTAGTATTCTTCCTCATCCTGATTAAGGACATTATCCTTCCAGAGAGCGTTCTGCAATAACCCCATTCTAGGTGACATGTGACAGCTGTGTCCATGTGTTCTGTGGTTTTCTTGTTGCTCTTCATCTGGACATGTTCTGTTGAGATTCCTGACTCACTCTGCCCATCACAACATCTGGCAGCAGACTTATAAGGGGTAATATGACTAAGGCAAGCGTGATGAAGGATTCAGAAGTCTAGTATGTGTACAGAACTGGACCACACGGGCAGTAAGAACCAGTCTACAGAAGATAACCTAAATAAAGCATAATTGTGATAATGCCAAATTGTACGACAAGGCAGTGCATGTCGCTCGAAGTAAGCTACACGTCCCTGCTATTCCTCAGCACTTATAGGAAAAAGTAAGTACCTTTTTTTCTACTAGGGGGCAGCAATGAAATGGCATATTGTAGATCTTCTGATTTGTTTTATGAAGTATAACCAAAAATGATTCTGTGAAACAAACCAAATAGTACAACATTTGTTTCCCAAATACATTTTTGTTTACGTGTATTATAGTTTTGTGTGTCTGTGTTTGGTAACAGCCGTACAGTCTAAACTGAATTGCTAGGAAAAATATTAGTGCAAGTTAAAATGCAATTATAAGAGATAGATCATTGTTTTACAGTATATCTAAACAGTTTGAAGCAG